AATGTAACCTTGGTGACCAATTCACCAGGAAGGTTTGGCAAGGGTAATATGACACTCTAATCACTTATTTTTTTGTAAATAAATTGGTATCCTGGTATAAGCCCACCTTTTATTAATACTCATTGAGCCAGTCTTCTGAAATCTGACCTTAGGACTATAACAAAATGTAAAGTTTGGGCTGGAATAATCAATAATCAGCTTTTTATTTTTTAACCTCTTAAGTTTCGATTTACCTACTGTGCTATGGAAGCTGTATAGAGACTAGCAGGGAGTTTAGCTATTCCTTTCAGGACTCTAGATTGCTGCCTCCTACTTAATATGAACTGTCTCTTCTTAGTAAGCACAGGTTTGAGAGGTTAAGAACCAAGTGAGATTTAAAATTACATAGTTTCCCCTGGCTGCCTTCACTTCTTCCACATTATATACCAGATTTGACTGATGTGCGCGAGAGGACATTAAAAGATGACACACTGAGAAGAATGTTTATAAAGTGTTAACTCAGAACTCAATATGTAGCACATATGGAAGAGAAAAACGGGTTGTTTTTTATTTAAAAAACAGAACAATGGGGCATCTGGGTGGCTTAGTTGGTTAAGTGTCCTGTCCGACTGTTGATTTCAGCTCAGGTCATGATCTCAGGGTTGTGAGATCCAGCCTCATGTCGAGCTCTGTGCTGGGCGTGGAGTCTGCTTGAGATTCTCACTCTCTCTCCCCCTCTGCCCTGCCTCACTGTTCTCTTGCTTGCTCTCTTAAAAAACCAAAACCAAAACAAAACCCCAAAAACAAAAAAACACCTAATTCTTGTCTTTTGTTTAGAGACGTAATATATATAAGATTAAGGAGAATGCCTTTTCTCCTCCAAACCTATTTCTATTTCATTTCTGGTTTATAGCTCTCATTTGATTTGTTTCCATTTTAAATGTCTGATCACATTTTAAAGCATTTAATTCAGAAAGATTATATATTATCGGAAAACAAGATTGATTCTTAATTTGTAAAAGATAAGGGTTGAGAGAGAGTATTATGTGACTAAAAAGTGAAGTGATTATTTGATTAATATTCAAAACTTTATAAAAATACCGTGGGTAAAAAAAAACTATTTTAAAAGCTTCATTTTAAAATGTTATATTTAGGGGCACCTGGGTGGTTCAGTTGGTTAAGCAACTGCCTTCAGCTCAGGTCATGACCCTGGGGTCCTGGGATCGAGTCCCGTGTCGGGCTCCCTGCTGGGTGGAAAGCCTGCTTCTTCCTCTCTCTCTGCCTGCCACTCCCCCTGCTTGTGTGCACTCTCTCTCTCTTTCTGTCAAATAAATAAAATCTTTAAAAAAAATAAAATAAAATGTTAATATTTACACATTTGGAGGGAGCATTTTTATAATAACTTTAAAAAGAAAAAAATTTTTAACTTCTTAATGCTTATTTACTTTAAATAAATATGTGTTGTGCATGCTGGGAAGTACAAGCCTTTCTTGGCTTTTTGTTATCCCTATTATTTGGGGGTACTTTCCCCAAACAACTGTAATGAGTGGAATTGAGGTGCATCTTTTTGTGTTTTTTGTTTTTTGGTTTTTTTTCAAACTTCAGTGCTTTGAAGAGAATTTCTGTGTAACTTCTTTTACTGATCCCAGAACATGGCATGTATACTCCCATTTCTCCTCTTCAGTCCTTCCTTCTCCCTTTTGAGAGTCACCTCTTCCCATCTTCCCATTCAAAGCCAGCTCCTGGACCTTTCTACTCTGGGCTGTAGTCATTTTCCCCTTTTCCACACTTGAAGTCTGTGGTCACCCCCTCTGGTGCAAGCATGGTTTTCCCAGTCTGCTGGAATTTCATCCCTCTCCCATACCTACATCTCTGCTTCTGTTGTCCTTCTATGCAGAATGAGTCACATCCCAATGAGAAACAGTGACTGCCCACTGATGGAGGTTGCCTCACTTCCCTTACCCCTACTAGACAGTCACGTGTCCAAGCCCCTCAGCCGGTAGAGCTAGAAATCCCACTGGAGGTCGGGGAGGGAACAGGGCAGGTGAACCCCACTGATCACATGACTGACTTCTCCTCCAAGCCTGGATAGGCATGTACAAGCCGAGCAGAGTTTGCACCTGTATCCTCTGGCCTGTCCCAGTCTGCTTCCATGAATATCATTTTCCATTCTTTATTCTAATTTTCTTAACACTTCTTATTGTCAGTCATTGACTATTTCTAGCTCTTGGCTTTACATAAATCTCAGGTTCCCGAACTCATTAGATTTCTCTCAGAACTTTCCAAGCTATATTTTGGTTTCAGCAGTGTCCTCTAAACAAAATCACCATTCATGAGAAAGGGGTGAAGGTAAGCCTTTTGGCAAGAATTGTGTAGTCATTCACTAGTTTACCCTATTCATGCAGCAGCTTGATTATCAAAATCTGTCCTCAGCCTTGAAGGCTCAGTGTGGTGAATGTGCATGTCTATAGAGTTCAGTGTTTTAAAACTGTATCCTTTATTCAGCATATTGCTAATTACTTTTTCCTACTTATGGCAGAGGTAGAACTTTCTACCTTGTCAGAAACATGTGCCTGTGGTGGTAGCATCATCATTGATCAATACGATAATTTGTAGTAAAGCCTATAATCAAGTGAACTGATTGTCAAATATATACCGTTTTTTTTCCCTCTCTTCTACATTCCCTCCTAATTAACCTTCATCCACCTCGTAGACCGTGGTCACACTCAGATTGCCAGATATGTATCAGGAAGATTGATACTCAGTTTTTTTAGAAAATACACTGTACTCAGAATTCTGTTCCACTGATTTCTTATGAAATTACTGGTTTTCCTAAAAGGGATTGATGCTTGGAGGTGATATGAGTAGAGAAGGCAGCTGTCTGCCTGGATTGTCCCTAAAAAATCCTGACAAAAAGGCCTGGTAAACAGCTGTGTTCTGGAGGATTTTTGTCTTTTTCAGCCAATCAAGATCGTTGTTGATAGCTATCTGGGATGCTCCTGTATTAAAAAGGAATTTCAGAACCTGTCTGCCTTAGCAAGCTATAATGGATTAGTGGCAAATTCCTCTGCAGTAGGAAGTGACAATGTCTATATTCCCTCCACGTATCTGTCATACTTCAGTCCAGCCTTCATTTTACTGACAAGGAGACCAACATCTGGAGAACTGAATTAACTTCAGTGGGATCACAGTTAGTGGGTGAAATTTTAGGCACGATTTTGGTTTCCTAGTTTTTCTTCTTGGGTGTTGTTCCCTGAACTGAATAAAGTAGATTGTGTGTGTCTTTCTTGAAAGATTTTTTTGTTCTTGTATAAAGGAAATGCAGTGACTTAAAAAATATTTACTACTGCAGTAGGATGTTATTAAGATGATACATTAAGATGTATCAGAATATCAACTAGTTATTATTTTGCCCAACTGATGATTTAGTTGTCTAAAATCTGATCACATTTGAATGTACAGACAAAACATTTGACTTTATAAAGGTGGGAACCTGACCCAAAATATGGTAAGTTGGGTACTTCTTTACTGAACATTTAAAAAAATAATCATCCATGTTAATGCAGAATGAGAAACATAGTATGTCTCTTGTAGGAATGATTCTAGAACGTCCCTGGAGATAAGAGTTATAATTTATTCAGTTAGTTTTAAATTCAAAAAGTATAATTTCGTGTTTCAGTGGATGGTTAAGTACTTCCACTTTTTAAAAGTCAGATTCTTGTTAAAGTACACTTACTTAAAACTCCTTAAGCATAAAGTTTTCACACATGTACACAGCGTATAACCACTACCATAGTCAATATAGAACACTCCCATCACCCCAGAAAGTTCCCTTGTGTCCCTTTCTCTAGCAACCACTGAACAAATAATTTTCACTTTCCAGAAAGTCACATAAATGGACTCATACAGTATGTAGCATTTTGAGTCAGTTTTATTTCTCTTAGCATAATGTTTTTGAGATTTATCCATGTTGTTGCATGTATCTTTAGTTCCTTTTTATTGCTGACAACCATTTCGTTGAGTAAGTATCCCACAGTTTGTTTAGCCATTCACTAGTTGATAGACATTTGGGTCATTTGCAGTTGTGAATTACTATGAATAAAAGCTACCATAAATACTTACATACAGATCTGAGGCTACTTGTTTTGGTGTTGGGTAAATATGTGGGAATGGGGTTGCTGAGTTGTGTGGAGTGTGTTAATTTTATAAAAACTGCTGGTGTGTTTTCTAAAATGGATATGCCGTTTTTTTATCCTCAATAGCTGTGATTGAGAAGTACTGTTGTTTTTCATCTTTGTCAGCAGTTGGTATTGTTAGTCTTCTAAATTTAACTTTTAATTAAAATGTCATTTTGGTTTTAATTTGCATTTCTCTGATAACTAGTAACGTTGAGCGTATTTTCAGGTACTCATATACCATCTTTATATCTTGTTCAGTGAAGTGTCTTGAAGTTTTTGCCAATTTTTAAATTGAGTAGTCTTTTTTTTTTGGTGCAAATAGGGTGGTTTTGTTAAAGCACGGGGACAGGACCCATGGGCAGAAAGAACTGCAGAGTTATCTTCTTGAGCTTTTAGAGTTCTTTATGTGTTCTGGATTCAGGTGCTTTCTCAGACATGTTTTACAAATATTTTTTCCCAGTCTATGGCTTGTCTTGTTTTTCTTGGCATTATCTTCAGAAGAGTAGAGATTTTTAATCTTCAACATTTTTGTATCTTTATCTTCTTAGTTATAAAATCAACTCACATTTATTATAATAAGTTAAAGAATGTTAAAATACATTTTTCCTTTCGGATCTACCTTTTTGGTATTTAAACACTAACACTCTAGTGAAAGAGAAAATTTTAATGTTATGTGCAAAGGTAAAATTTCTGCTACAAGAAACATATTTTGAAAGTTTCCTTTGTATCCTAGAAGTAAAATTTCTCTTCATGTTTAAGGGGGTAATTAGAAAAAGAAAAAGAAAAAAGAATAACCTGTTAAAATACTCCAGTTCAATCTGTTTTGCTTTTCTTTTATTTTAGTGTCATCCAGGATAAATTCTGTGGGATTATAAACATCTCAGTGGAAGGCCTACATGATGTCATGACAGAAGATCCTGAAACAGGAACTTATAAAGAGTAGGTGGATCATTTAATTAATTGCACTTGATCTGGGGTGGAGTGTGTGTGGGGGGGTAATTAATTATGTCCTGCATGATTTTTGTTCACTACTACCATATAAACACAGTGTGGTGACTGTTTAAATTTTGTCTTTTATAAAGAAAATTTTGTATTTGTTTTGCCTCTAATTAGTTTGATCTTGAGATCACCTTTAATTTATTAAAGTGAAATGACAAATTGGACTTCTTTAGTTTAATAATAATTTTATGATTTGACATTAGGTTTTTCTGTTAGCATGTAAATGCCTTTTTTAAGATGTTTTGAATATATTCTTTTTTTTCAATTAACAAAGTTCCCCTGCCCATTAGGCAAGTTATGGGGAAAAGTGGATTGGTAAACATCCTGTATTTGTATTTGCCTGATAGAAGCATCCCTGGCACCTTTACATATTAGAGTCACTTGGTACTTGACCAGTTTTAAGAGAATGGTTAAAATGACATTTTTTGTGAGAATAGTTAAAATCATGTCATACCTCTAGAACTATTAATTTGAAATTTCATTTCATTGCATCCTTTTATAGGTAGTAGAATTGCTGTACCTTTTCTCTTATTATTGTTAATAAAGGGCATGTGTTAAATTACGATAAGCAAGACTTAATGAGATTTGAGGCCGCTTGACTTTACATCAATAGTATACTGAGCCTGTTTTCTTTGTTCTTTAAAAAGAATCTGTAGAATGGGGCGCCTGGGTGGCTCAGTCGTTAAGCATCTGCCTTCGGCTCAGGTCATGATCCCGGGGTCCTGGGATCGAGCCCCGCATCGGGCTCTCTGCTCGGCGGGAAGCCTGCTTCTCCCTCTCCCACTCCCCCTGCTTGTGTTCCCTCTCTCGCCATGTCTCACTCTGTCAAATAAATAAATAAAATCTTAAAAAAAAAAAAAAGAATCTGTAGGAAATGGGAAAGATTGCCGTTTGAATCCTATTCTGTTGAAAACATGGAAAGCAAATTTATATTGTTGCATCTTATTAAACATACGTAGATATGATGTGTCCGGCATATAAGTTTGCCTTCAAGAATATAGGAGTTCAGATGAGGTAGAAACTTCACACTTCTGGGATAGCTGGGTGGCTCAGTTGGTTAAGCGTCTGCCTTTGGCTCAGGTCATGATCCCAGGATCCTGGGATTGAGTCCTGCTTTGGGCTCCTTGCTCAGCGGGAAGCCTGCTTCTCCCTCTCCCACTCCCCCTGCTTGTGTATGTTCTCTCTCTCTCTCTCTGACAAATAAAATCTTAAAAAAAAACAAAACAAGAAACTTCACACTTCTCTGATTACAACCAAAATAAGAAACCATGCGTACGTGTAGGCAGTTTTTTCCAGGTTTTTATAAAGTTAACATAGGGTTTATGGCATGTGACTATAAATACTGTGTATTTATGCATAATATGTGACAAAGTTTACAACTGTTTGTGAAATATTTAGGATATAATCAAATGTTCCTCGTCCTCTAGAGTATATAATTTAGGGGAAGGATGTGTCTAATAGCATAATGAAAACACTAGTAATGAGTAAAGGCAATTACGTATGTTTTGAACAAAGCACACAAAACAGTAGAATTTTAACTTGTGCTCCAATAGAGGAAAAAAGAGGCACTGTGTGTTAGAGTCTTCAGGAAGGGATAGGACTTAGGATATAGGAAATGGACATAAATATAGCATGGTCTAAGAGGAAGGGATGAGAGTCAGGAAGTTGTTAGAAATAAAGTTTAGAAATAGTGTAGTTTCATAGGCTCGGAAAAGTGCAGTGACACAGCAGATGAGTAGAGGAGTCAAGACTAGAACCATGGTGTTTTGACTCGTGATGCCAAGCTCAGCCAGGGAGAAAGTTTTGGTTTGGAAGAGGAAAATGTTGGGCATAAGGAAAGCAGACTGACTAGGAGACCATTATTGGGATCCATACTACAAAGGCCTAGATTTGGTGCCTGGGTAGCTGGCACATAAAACCACTGTTTTCTTCCCCAGAATTGTTTGGTCACTGCTTTTTACCCTGGGGTGGTATTTGGCATGTGGAAACACAGTGGAGAAACTATTTTCCTAACTTTTCTAGGTTTTCTACGAGAGGTTAGACTGGATCTGTGATAATCTTCCTACTCTGTAATTCTGTGAACTGCATGGAGTTCTTTTTTTTTTTTTGTAAACTATGTGGAGTTCTAAAAATTACAGTCCATCAGACTGTAAGGTATAAATAGACTTTCAGAAAAGGGCACTCAAGAAACATAAAATATTTACTTATGTAGCTAACTTATCCTCCAGCTTCCCCTTCCTGTTTATTGGAACAGTTTATTCAAAGAAAGTTAATATTTTTAGTTCTATTGAATTCCTATTGTATTCTCAGTATAGAATAAATTAGAGCAAAGGAAGAAAACCCTGGGTTTGTTTTTTTTTTACCTCTATAAGTAGTATATTAGGGTTTTCCATATAGACAGAGCCAATAGAAGTTTTTTTTATATATATGTGTATAAAGGGAGAGAGCATGCCAGAGAGAGAGAGATACTTATATTTATGTTATATATTTATAATAACATAAATATAAATAGATTTATTTATAAAAAGTTGACTCATGCAATTATGGAGGCTGAGAAGTCCTAAGATCTCCAATTGGCAAACCAGAGTATAGTTTTAGTCCAAGTCCAAAGTCCAAAGGCCTAAAAGTAGGAGAGCCAGTGGTGTTAAGTTTTAGTCTGAGTCACAGAGCCAGAGAAGACTAATGTTCCAACTAAAAGGCAGAGAGTGAATTCCCTTTTAATTAGACCTTTTGTTCTATTCAGACCTTCAACTGATTGAGACTCACGCACACTGGGGAGGGCAATCTGTGGTACTCACTGTACAAATTCACATGTTAATCTCCTCTAGAAACACCCAGAATAATATTAACCAATTATCTGGGCATTCTGTGGTCCAGTCCAGGTGTTATATTTAACCACAGTAATGAAGCCTGGTTGACAGCTCATCTCTTTATTCAGACTTGTTTATGCCATACATTTTGCTGTATGAGGAAGCAGCTGAGGCTCTGTCCTGAAGTTCACTACCTAGAAGGGGAAATGGGGACCAGTGGAGCAATGCCAGCTACAGAAGAAGGAAGGTTTTGGGGAAACTGCAAATAACTTATGAGAGTATGTAGTGGATTAGAGCCAACTAGTAAAGTAGCTTGAAAAGGAATTTGGACTAGCTTGTATAGTCAGTGGAGGTTCATGTGGCAGTTTTAAAGTGTGGAAGTACGAAGAACAGGTTTATATGTCAGGAGAGTCACTTGAGTGCATTATGGAGGACGACAGCGAGGGGTGGAAAGGCTCACACTGAGTGGTCTTGGACCGTTGAAACCACCTGGGATGCTTGTTAAAAATGCATATTTCCCTTCCCCAGTCCAGACCCCTTATATCAGAATCTTTGGGGCTATGGCAGTAGAACCTGCCTTGTAAACAGGAACCCTAGATGATTCACATGCCCTTTAAAAATTGAGAATGTACTGCCTGGGAAATGGAGAAGCCCTTCAGGTAGCTGTTCTACTAGTGCTGATAGGAGTTTGAGATAGATTGTGGAGGAAGGATTGGCAGGAAATGATGACAGGTGGGTGTGGCTAGAGAGTTACAAGTATTTATAGTTTGGGGGACATGACATACATAAATTTTTAAGATACTGGTGCTTACACCTAACAACCTATGTCTATTTTTATGCTTTAATATGTCTTCATAACTGTATTCTCATAGGCTTTTAAAAATTAAATGTAACATTTTATGTGGGGAAAAATGGAGGTGAGTTTTTATCTTAAGATGGACTTTTTTTTTTTTTTTTGTAGTAGAAAAGTTTTTCTTCCAAGATAAATGGGTAGTTAACAGTTGACTGTTACTGATCTTGATACTGGTATTTCTTAAGAATGGTATATAAAATGAATCCATTTAGAAGAAAGAAGAGTTCTATTTTCAGAGTTTAAGAATCTGGATTTTTTTTTTCTTTTTTTAAATTGAAGTATAACTGACATATGTAATATTATATTTAGTTTTAGGTGTACAACATAATGATTCAGTATTTGTGTTTATTGTGAAATGGTCAACACAGTAAGTCTAGTTAACATCCATCACCGTCCATAGTTAATAAATTTTTTTTCTTGTAATGAGGATTTTTAAGGTTAATTCTCTAAGCACCTTTCAAATATGCAATAGAGTGTTACTAACTATAGTTACTGTGCTATATATTATATCTCCATGACTTATTTTATACCTGGAAGTTTGCATCATTGACCCCTTTTACCCATTTTGTCCACCCCCCACCACTCTCCCAACTCTGGGAACCACTGTTCTGTTCTCTCTCTGAATTTTGTCTTTAGTTTGATGTAGAGTTCCACATGTGTATTTTTACTTTTGTTGCCTTTGCTTTGGCGTCAGGTCAAAAAAATCATCACCCGAAGACTGATGTCAGGAGCTTACCACTTAAGTTTTCTTTTAGGGGTTTGATGGTTTCAGGTCTTACATTCAAGTCTTTAACCCATTTGGAGTTAATTTTTGTGTAAGGTGTAAGATAGTGGTCCAGTTTCATTCTTTTGCATTGATTTCTTTATATGTTTGTATTTTGGTTGGGGTACAGTTAATTCATTAAGCCAGGAAAATAGATTAGTGAGGCTTGAGATTTGCCTTCTACTTGTCTTCGGTTAGAGTGGTTTTCCTTTCTTCCCTGAAGTAATATTTTGTTTTTAGGCAAATTGGGAAGTGAAATTGACAAACCCCTTGCCAAAGTTTGGGAAGTACAAAGAAAGGATTCAGCCAGCAGTTTCATGTATAAGCGTCTAGAATTTCTTAAACGTAGTTCTGTAGAAAGCAGTCATGGTTAGCGGAGTAAGATTGCCATGGTGCCTGTCAAGCTGCTGTCACTAGGGCTGGGGTCAGCTTTTTTTTTTTTTTTTAAAGATTTTATTTATTTATTTGAGAGAGAGCACATGAGAGGGGGGAGGGCCAGAGGGAGAAGCACACTCCCCGCCGAGCAGGGAGCCCAATGCGGGACTCGATCCCAGGACTCCAGGATCATGACCTGAGCCGAAGGCAGTCGCTTAACCAACTGAGCCACCCAGGTGCCCGTGGGGTCAGCTTTCATTGAAGCGGACGGGGACATGGATGCACATAGAGGCATGGGAAAGGAGGGTGCTGGGCACATTCGGGGTACTTCGGGAAGGAGGATGGTTACACAACCAACCAAAGTGTCCATTGCAGAGACAGTTGAATAATGCTGTCAGTTCTAGTTTTATTGTGACTTTCCGAAGTGAGTTTGTTTAGATTAAATGAAAGGTTTTATTGCATGTGCCTTTTAAATTAGAAATAATTTAAAGGGTTTCATGTTGCATGCTAACACTATTGGTTGTGTTTCATTGGTTAGAGTTTCTTGTTGGGAAAGATTCTAATTTTTAAGTGGCTAGAGTGCCTGGATCTGTTTAGTGAGTGGGAGTAGCACGTGAGAAGGTCTGGCTGCCTAGGTTCACATATTAGTTGTCACTAGTTTAGACTATTTTATTATTATTCTTATTACATTCATTGCATACATATTTTAGCTTATTAGAAATCTATTAATTCCCACCATGCCTTTTATGTAAAAAATGATTCCCTATCTTTAATATTTGTCAAAAAAATGAGATTTGACTTTTAATTGGAAACCTACCTTCAGGAGAGAATTTCATCTTTAGGTTTTTCAAATTCATTTTTTTTCTCTCAATTTATACCTTCCAGAGACCCAAGTGAATGCAGTTTACAGAATTGCAGAGGAAAAATATTCTGCCCTCTCAATAATTTTGGTCTCTGTAAAAAAATTATATGTGTAAATGTATATTTATATGCAGAATATACTCCGCATTATATATGTGATAAATCATTTAATTTAGGGAGAGGAGAAAGAGAGTTTTTACTATTCAAATGAGTTAACAGATTTAGGAATGTGGTGAAGGAATTTCATGCAACATAAAGCGTACTTTCTTGGAGATCCAAATTCACTGCAGTTAGAATTCAAATCTGCAGCCGGCATAAAATAGCAAGTATGAAGGAACTCCTTATTATTCAGTTCTAAAATATAAAGTGGGATTTAGATTGTTTTCTAGACATTTCATTTTACTAAATAACGTTACTTTTTAGTAATATTATTACTAAATAATAATATAATTTCTCACTTATTGCCAGAATCCCTTGGCCAACTAGTTGTGCTATATCGTATTAGATCATGGTGGATGAAAGCATTGCAGTGTCAGGAGGTTAAGACCATGCAGTGGGTTAGGAATTAAGCTCTTGCTGTTTCTGACTGAATGCACCAGTATGCACTGACTGGGTCAGAAGTAGTTGTTTCGAAAAGTTGATGTTTTTAATGCTGGGGAATAGGGGGAAAGGGACGCTCATATCCGCTGCAGGAGTGAGCCTGATCAAGTTTCTGGTGTCAGCACTTGTCTTTAACCTTGAATTAAAAGTTATTTACACAGCTGAGTCAGGAGTTATGTTTCCTCTGTACTTGCTACAAAACATAAGAGAAACCAAGCTTTCTTTGCCACAGTTTATTGGTTAGGAACCTTTGACTCTGATAAATTACTGAATTCTGCTGTTCTAAATTAGGAAGCAGTGAGGTTTATTCCATCAACTGGATTCACTAGACAGTATTTATTTCTTCTCTCCCTGGAAGAGAGAAACTATTGACTAAATAGGAAACTATATTTCTGTTATCTCTGTTAATGGTGAAGAGCAGGGGTGCAGATAATCAAAATAAAATGATTTATAACTGTCCTGCAGGTACACGTGCTCTCAGGGACAAGTTCCTCATAGCATAGTAATGTCATTTGGAGCACAGAGTAGATTATTGCATAATTAATGTTGTTTTAATGAGGTTATTATTTAAATTATTGCTATTGTTATGAGACACGGATGATAATCTACAGACATATGAAGATTGGTGGTAAAAGAAGGGTTAATCATAAGTGTCTGTAAGTATCATTTTTTTAGAAAAATGTAAACGGTACAGCTTGCTTTGTCAAGTGATATATGGCTTAAAAATCACGTATACATAAATTCCCTGTAACTTGCTGCCTTCAATTCTCAAGTAATATGTTCTAAAATATTTTGGTATGGCCCTTTTTCTAAAAAGTGAGGCACATCTTTGTAATTAAATCTTAAAATTATAAATCTGATTTATCTAGCTATTCCTCACATTTTGGTACATAGAAGCATTAATATTCGCAGTGATTTACAGGCTTTGTTTCAGCATGTTACAGATGTTCTTTATTTACTTAAAAACTTTTTTTTTTTTTTTGTAGCTGTATGTTAATGTCTCATCTTGAAGAACCAAAAGTTACAGAGGATGAAGAACCACCCACAGAACAGGATAAGAGAAAAAAGATGGTAAGTTAAAAAGTAGCTTTTAAAATTTGGGAGAACCATTTACAGTTCATCCGTGTATCCATCTCTCTATCCATCCCTGTTGTAGAATTAATGTAAGCTGAGCTTTGAAGTTTGGACTGTACTCCTAAGACAGATAAATTATGTTCCTAGTAATCCTACTACAGGAAGTAGAGTTAAAATCTTAATCTGAAATAGCTTTTCTTGTCTTAGCAGAGCAAAGGGTTTAGTCTTTCACTTACAGAAAACACGTGACCCTCAAAACTCACTTAAGTTGTAATGCTTACTCTTTGGTTTTGAGGAGATTTACTGAAATTGCTTCATTCCCTGTTACTTCATGAATTTTCACAACAAATTTTTTCTGAGCTAATCATAGGCCTTTACAAAAATTCCTTTAACTGCTAAATAGGAACAAAAAATCAGAAACCTCTAAAATATCCCACCTTTAAAATTATAATCTTGAACTTTTAAGTATTTACTTTGATACATGAATGTAAAACAGCCACATAAGTCACCTTTTTCCCATTTCCTCAAGGAATCCATTCTGGTCTCCTGGCCTCATCATTACTAATTGCGTTGTGCCTTCTTTCCTCATTTGCACTTGAGAACAACAATAATATCCCTCAAAAGTAAATAAATCAGTATATAAGCTGGTCATGGGATACGCTGAACACCTAGTAATTACTGGTGATCCTTATTTCAGTCTGCTCACGACATTCTCTCCTTGAATTATGCCACATGAACCCACCGGGGGCTTCAGTTGTCCTCAAGGTGGAGCTGATACTGTGCTGCTCAGACAGCCTTCTTTTATTTTTTTTTTAAATTTTTTAAATTAAAAATTTTTTTAACTTTTTTCTTTAATGTTCAGTTAGCCAACATGTAGTACATCATTAGTTTTTGATGTAGTGTTCAACGATTCATTAGTTGCATATAACAGCCTTCTTTTAAACCGTGTTAGAGTTGAATCCATTTTACTTGTCATTTTCGCTGGAGGGACGATAGCCTTTCAGTATAGCCTAACAGTTTGTCTTCTCCTTCCTCATCTCCGCTTTTTAAGGCATTTAATATATAATTGGTGTTATGGAAAATGTAACATCTTCCTTCATAAGATTCTAAACTTGTAAATGAGTAATAGGTATTCTGCTTCTATTCATTCCTCAGCTTTTGTACGCACTTTATTCACATCATTTAGTTAGCTAGATTGACCCTTAGCAAATTCATCTACTCAAATTTATTTTTCATCCTATAGAGAATCCTCAGTAACATCATATAATACTAATTTTAATCCTAACTGGATTTTGAAGGTAAGTGAAATATTACGTTAAGGAACAGTGTAAGAGCATAGTTTCAGAAATAACAAAGTTTCTTGTTTCAGTTTTGTGATTTTAAGTATTGTTCGAGAGCTGGTTATTTTATCATTATTGTTCCAATCATAGGCAGTATTATTTTACAGAACAACCGTTATTTTTTCCAGGGGTTGATTTTTTTTTTTTTAAGATTTTATTTATTTATTTGACAGAGACAGCAAGAAAGGGAACACAAGTAGGGGGAGTGGGAGAGGGAGAAGCTAGGCTTCCATCAAGCAGGGGCTCAAATCCCAGGACTCTGGGATCACAACCTGAGCGGAAGGGCAGACGCTTAATGACTGAGCCACCCAAGCGCCCCCTCCAGGGGTTGAAATTTGAAATTAGTCGTCACAGTGGCTTTTTGATATAGATTTATATTGTCATCTCTACTAAGATTTCCAGTGCCTTAGACTTAGAGAGCATTAGTCTAATGCCGATGATACCTCAGCATTTATGGTTAATGCTGGGATTATTTATCTTAGCCTTGAATAGGTCTAATTACGAATACCATGATAATTTTTCTGTAACTTTCCAGTAACAATATTAGTTTCACTGTATCTTCAGGGTTACCAGTACAAATAATGTATCTTTTTTTCAGTAATTATATCATCATTCTTATACTGTATGTCTTTAACATTAGAAATTTTTTGAGAACTATCTAGGTTTGTCCTGGTTGTAATTTCAAAGGGGAAAAAATGTTTGCTGGTAGATGATTATTAACTATTATTTAAAAGAAAAACCAATCTAGTGTCAAAGGTTTTTCATTTTAAAGTGAAAATGTTTACTTACAAGGAAGAAAAAGTGTAACTGCTTGGTTCCACAATTACGTAATTAAAAGTTTGATTTACTTACTGCCATTGTTGTCTTCAAGTTGTCCCTAAAATATGGTGTCTGCATTTCAGTAGCTGCTTTGCAGAGGATAGAAGCAGTGATTGTAATTCAGAAAAGTGGATGATTAACATTACATCGAGTGTGCCAGGTGATGTTGCATGTATTTATGAGCATTCTCATAGTTTGTTTTAAATAAGGATGACATTTCCATTCAGGAAACCTATTCACCTGTCCAGACTTCTGATCTTGCCCTTTTTCATCCAGCTCCTGTCTAAACTACCTGTTTGGGGGGAACTAATGGAAGGTCCAGTGCAGCTCAGGCATTTCATTTCATTCCTAAGGTCTCTCGCTATCCAGTATGCTCCAGGAGTAGAACGATAATTTTGTGACATCTTTCGTAAAGAATTAAGCTAATACATTAACATTTTAAGTTGCTTGTAATTTCTGTCTTGTGATGTGTGACTTACGAGGCATTTATAAGTTGTACTTTTCCAAATTTAAGCTTTTGAGCATATTAATGCTTTCTGGCAACTTGATGGTACTGGTTAAGAAAGCATTATTAATGAAACAGTTGATATAGTAAGTAAAGCTGTGTTAATGGGGTATTTCTGATCATACTTCCATGTTAAATATTTCTCAGTTTAAGCCCCAGAAATATTTTGGTGATCTGCTTCTGTACACCATAATCTAATTTCATATATACTTACTAGATGCTTTAGTTGATAAGCTTGAACATTATTAAAACTACACTAACTTTGGGGCACCTGGGTGACTCACTCTTTTAAGCATCAGACTTGGTTTTTGGCTCAGGTTGTGATTTGGGGGTCATGGGATCAAGCCCCATGTTGGGCTCCGCATTTGACATGGAGTCTGCTTGAGATTCTTTCTCCCTCTCCCTCTGTTCCCCCTTTCCCACTTCTGTGCGCATGCTGTCTCTAAAATAAATAAATAAATCTTTAAAAACAAAACTACACTAACTTATCATTTTCCTGTGCTGGTAGAGCATTAGCAAAAATAATGGTCTATCCAAACGTCATCATTTTACATTACTTTGAAGTAATAGCAATACCTTATCTATATAATATTATCCTTTTTTTAAAGAATTTTTTTGGAGTGTCATCTTACTTACCCCTGTAACAGTTTTATGGTCAGATATTGATGAAGAAACCAAGTCACAGAGAAGTTGCCTCTTACTCAAGAGTTATAGATTCTGGGAAAGACCGAAATTAGAACTGAGCTTTCTTGATTCCTAGCCTGATGCATTCTTTATGATTTTAATTTCTAAAATTTCTGTAGCTTTTCTAAAATGTTTTGAGAAATCCCACATACCATTTTGCTGAAACTGCACAATGTATGGGAACTACACGTTTGAGGGTAAAATATACCAGCCTAAAACATAGCTCAGCTACCACAAGTCACGGGAATTGGAATTAGATCTGTAGATTCAGTATAGTTTGTCATGTTCTCATGATAAGCATGGCTAGGAAAGAGGTAGTTTATTAATTTGTACATTTGCTTTACTTTTACAGTTAAATGTAGTTTGCAGTTAGTTTGTAGTTATTGAATAAACTATAAACAAGAGCTAGAGAAATGACCTTGAGGAATACCTGTTGAGAGAGATCAATTTCAGGGAGAACATGAATAAGAATTCACAAAGATGCTAATTATTTTTTGAGTAACATTGAGTATATACTATATTTAAGTATTATTTTAAGTTTTTTGTGTACTTATTGAATGCTCACTGCATGATACAGTATTCTTGAAATTGAGGATATGGCAGTGAATGGAGCTTACAGTCCGAAGAAATGATTTATGTATAATAACAATGTTAAATTTATGAAGATTTAGATTAAGTAATAAACATCACAGTAGTTTTCTAAATTCAAAGCATGTTCATGAAACGTGGCAGTTTTGTATATAGTGTTGCTAGAAATATATTTTTACTGTGTTTTAATAAATCAGTTAAAGAATGTAGCCTTCACTTCACTGACAATAACTGTTTTCTATCTCTCTCTCTCTCTTTTTTTTTAGCTTTATAGATCTTTGCAAGCCTTCTATTTGATTAGTTTTTCAAGAGAAATATCATTTTAGGAACTGTTTTAACAGTTTTCAAGATCATTTGTACTTGGAATGATTTTGATTTTCATCTTTTATGTACACGTATAGGAATATATCTTAATGTATTTTAGCAGAAAAATTTAGAGCTATCTTATATCTAGCTCAAGAATATGAACTATTATTTTTCCACTATCTCAAGAGGTAGATTAGTATTGAAAACATTTATGCGATATTACAAACCAATGAAAATATCATTTTAACATGTTGTACTTTACTTTTAAGCTGCTGTTTGCTGAGTGAGTTCTGCAGGTGAATTTCTACTGGTTTGTAATCAGGTCTTAAGCTTTCGATAGGCTCAAATATTTATATGACTAGCAAGACTTTTAAATTTTAACTTGTACCATATATAGGTCAAAGAGAATCTACAGCCTAACTGAGCTAAATTTTGGGTGGAACCAAGTATTTGTAGGTTGAATGACATGAGCAAACCTGGCATCACAGTCTTCTGCTTTGGCTGTAGCACATCTAAGCAGATTAATTGTCTTTTAGGTTGGGTTGCATTTTATTTGATAAATATATGACCAGATCCTAAGTCTCAACAATAGATCCTGAGCATGGCTTGCATATTGCCTTCTAGTGAGTGTTGTCTCTTGTGCACCTGTTGCCAAATACAGAACTGGATCAGAGAGGGACAAGACCAGGGCAGTGTGGGAATGGAATTGTCTGAAAATCAGAGCCTATAGGTAGCTAACAGTTTTTTCCCCTTTT